TTTTGGTATTTTCACGCAAATTCTTCTGCTAGTTGGGGTTTAGTCCAATTCTGCATCCTTTCCTTCAAGGCTCAGGGGTCCAAGATTATCTTCTGTGTCTGTGTTAATTGGTTTCCCTTTTCTTTGTTGAAGAGGGTCTGTGCAATCCTTCTGCCTAGTCCGCCATCTTGCCAGTGTGGCTTTTCTGAGAACTCTATTTAAAATGCAAACCCTTTCTTCCCAGGAATTCTCTTGTCTGAATTATTTCTCTCTACAGAATTTATCACCTGCTCACACATTATTTACTTATTTTGTTCAATGTGTGAGTATGTCTCTCTACTAAATTGTAAACTAGCCAAAGGTAGTGATTTTTGTCTATTTTGTTTACCGTTATATCCCTAGCACTTAAAACACTCAAATATTTGATGAATGAATGAATGTGCCAACGGGTCTTAACTTTGGTATGTATAAACAAAATTAAATTTTCCTAAGTTTGTCCAAAGTGTCTTTATAGTTTACATAAGGAATGTAAAACAGCTTATGAGCTGAGAAGTCCTAGCTCAAAAAAGTATATTATTTAGCATAGCCAAACACCTTGAGGGGGTGAGTTGCTGGGGCAGGAGGCTCAGGACTATAGTCTTGGAGGACCTCAAGGTCAACTGGCACAACAGAGTCCACAAAGATAATGCTCTACATCCTACTTTGGTGAGTAGCAACTGGATTCTTAAAAGTTTGTGAGCAGTCATCAAAGGTGCAACCACTGGTTTCCCCCCCACTGGAGTAAAGAAGAGTGAAGAAAAATCAAAGATGCATGAACAATTACTAGTGCAATGGACTAATGGACCACATGAACTGTAGCCTCCATGACCCTGAGACCAGAACTAGATGCTGTCTGGTTACCACTACAGACCACTCTGAAGGGGATCACAACAGAAGGTACTGGATGGAGTGGGAGAAAAGTATGGTACAAAACTCAAAATCACTGGTCTAATCAAGACTGGTGGAACCCCAAAACTATGGCCCTCAGTCACCCTTCAAGCCTGGAACTGAATTCATCCCCATGGCTCAACTTTCAGCCAAACATAGGCCAATAAGGTGAACAATAACACCAGTGAGGTACATACTTCCAAGAACAATCAATCATTCCAGATTAAAAGGGCAGCATCTCCCCAAGGATAAAGCTCAGAAGGAAGGAAGGGATAAGAAAGACAGACAAATGCAAATGGGAAACACAAAAAAAGTGAAAAGAATGTTGCTACATTGTGGGGATTACAATCAGTATCATGAAACAAAATGTACATGTTATTGAATGGAAAAACAATCTGTTCTATAAACATTCACTTAAATCACAATAAAAAGTTAAAAACAAATAAACTAGTATATTAAAGATGAAGAGTAAGTATATTACAAGTGATCATCAATACACAGAAGAGTAGAACTGCATGAATGAGTCTATCTACAACCAACAAACTCTCTTGCAAGTGAAGTTCTTTTTCATATAAACCATGGTCTTAAAAATAAAATGATTTCAGGTGAGTCTTTGGTATGTATAAACAAAATTAAATTTTCCTAAGTTTGTCCAAAGTGTCTTTATAGTTACATAAAGGATAGAGATCATCACTGCATTTAAATATTTAGGATGATTCACAAGACATATTTGCAGGAAAAAATATGTATCTAAAAATAAAAATGTACAAAGTTCTTCATTAAAACAGTAGCTTAAATAAATGTCCCATCAATACCAGACAAAGCCACTGACTAGACCTACATGATAGTGCTTAAAGCTTTTTTATAATTATATGAAAGCACTTGAATCTGTCTTCATAGACAATATGGTTAAAATCAGTAACTGATCTTCCAAATGCAATTCAGAAGTTCATGTAAGGAAAGGAACTGATGGGAAAAGACTGTACACAAAATAGTTCTGATTTTTATTTGCCTTTCTTCATCTTGGCTGTCTTTTCCTTTCTTTTCTTCACATGTTTAGGAATTTTATTTTTTCTTTTCTCTCTTTGGGCTTCCTTGACCATTTTTTTCCTTTCCTGTAAAAATGAAATTTTATTAAGAATATTCATATACTATTATTACAACTAAATAAAAATACGTAAAACTAAAATATATTACAACTATATACAGGAGCTCTGGTGGTGTAGTACCTAAGACATCTGTGTTAACCAGAAGGCTGGCAGCTCACAACCGCTAGCCATTCCTCAGAAGGAAGATTGGGCAACCTACTTCCATAGTGATACTGCCTCAGAAACCCAAGGAGGGGTGGTTGTGAGTCGGATCCAACTCGACGGTAGTTGAGTTTTTGAGTTATGTATTATATACATAAAATACAAATATTGTATATATATATATACACACACGCACACACACACACAAAAAAAATACATTACAACTGAATAAAAATACATAAAAAGGAAAAACTAAAGTATAACATGAGAATGATTAGGTTTGTTAGAATTTTGGGAAAAAAACCTTCTTTGAGTTATCTTCAAATTTCTTTGAAGACAGTCAAAAGAAATATCCGTGAGGATGTTATTAACTGGTTTGTAACACCTTTGCTTTATAAGTTCCATATGCTAAGAAAAATAAAGGTTGGAAGGGAAGAAATTACTTGTTTCTCATAGAGACAGAAAAATATACTAGCGAGTTGAATAATATGTCTCTTAAGAGTTTTAGGACCCAAATTTTATAACATTTAAGGGATAAAACAAAAATGGAAGAATAACTGGTTCTTCAGTATTACACCATGAGTCAACTCTAACACCACTTTCACTTCACGTGAATGGTAATTGTTTTCAATCAATGTACTTAATTTAGTGTGTCTTACCTCTATACAGTCCCAAAAGAGCTAACAGAAGCCAAAACTCTACATAATGATACCACCAAAAGCAAAGTTCATATTTGTGAATTAAAACTATGATTGTTTTGCTGTTGTTGTGTGCCACCGAGTTGATTCTGATTCACACTGATCCTATAGGATTTACTAGGCTATAATCTATATGGGAGCAGATCATCAGGTTTGAACCTAGTAGGTTCAAACCATCGACCCTTCTCTTATTAGCCAAGTGCTTAAGCACTGCACCACCAGGGTACCTTAAAACTAAGATTATTTATAAATAGTATCTTCAGTCATCATAATCTAGTTAGATTCCTGAGCAAAAAGAAACTAGAGTGACTCATGCTGAAGAAAAAGGATTCTGGCTAACCTTTTTATCAAGTTCAGGGTCAGTAGTATGCTTCTTGGAGCAGGCATGGTCTCCCTGATCTTCAGAGTCTACATCAGAGCACTCAAAGCTTCCACCATCTTCTGAATCAGAACAAGTCATTTCTTTAACTTGATTTTCTAGAAGTGCAGGGACCTTGAAAACAATATAATATATAACATTAGAATAATATTACTCATGCTATTTTAAGCCAATCAGTAATTTATTATTATTAAAAGTGTTAATGTCAGAATTCAGATTTCAGCCTTGCAGATATACTTTGAAAAAGAACACCAAAACCAAATCAACCTCGGGAAGTAAGCTGGGAAGCAGCCATTACTGTAAGTCTCAAGTACATACCCAAATGAAGGATGTGGGGCTTTATTTGGGTGACAAACATCAACCATAGATTACTTCAGGTTTTTCCAGTAAATCAGGAAGATTGGTTTGGGATTTAGAAGGATGTGAAATACAGATAGAAATAAAAAGTAATTTAGATTACAGCTGTTTTCCTATGAACCACAACTCCAGCAACACTTATTATTAATCCAAGTAAGTGAGAAGACAATATTAAAACAAGACTTAAGAGATATTTGCAGTGTTGCCTTAAATGCAGCAGAAAGCATATATTAAAAACAGAAGGTTTCCTTTTCATAAGGGATAAGCAGATCTTTAAAAGTCAATTTTATAACCGAATGGTGAAAACAACACAAATGTCCATCAGTGGAAGAATGGATAAAGAAAATGTGGTGCATACATACAAAGGAATGTTATTCGGCCATAAAAAGAAATGGAAGTTCTGATACAAACTTTGACATGATGACCCTTGGAGACATTATGCTAAGTTAAAGAAGTCACACCCAAAAGGACAAACATTGTATCATCTCATTTATATGAAGTATCTAGAACAGGCAATAATAATAGAGATAGAATAGATTAGACATTACGAGGGGCTCAGGGGGTTGGGAAGAGGGGGAGCAAGGAGACTTATTGCTTCATAGTACAGAGTTTCTGAAATAATTAGTCCAAAGGACTAATGAACTATGTGAACCACAGCCTCCACGACCCTGAGACCAAAAGAACTAGATGGTGCCCAGCTACTACTATCGACCACTCTGAAAGGGGGATTAGAAGGTCCTGAATAGAGTGGAGAAAAATATGGAACAAAACTCAAAATCATTAAAAATACGAGGCTCTCTGGTCAGACACAGATTGGTAGAATCCCCAAGACTATGGTCCTTGGTTACCCTTCAAGCTTGGAACTGAACTCATCCTTGTGGCTCAACTTTTAGCCAAACAATAGACAGGCCTGTAAGGGGAACAATAACACCAGAGAGGTAAGCACTTCTTAGAACAATCAACTATTTGAGATAATAAGGGTAGCAGTAATCCAGGCACAAAGTTCAGAAGACAGGAAGGGATAAGAAAGGTAGATGAATGGAAAGGAGAAACACAGGAAGTAAGTAAGAAGAGTGCTGTTACATTGTAGTGATTACAATCGATGGCAAGAAACAAAAAGTATATGAACTGGACTTCCGGTAAGATGGTGGAATAGGAAGAAAGACTGCACAGACCCTCTTCAACAAAAAAAAGGCGAACCAATTAACACAGACAAAGAAGATAATCCTGGACGCCTGAGCCTTGAAGGGAAGGATACAAAAGTGGACTAAACCCTAACTAGTAGAATAATTTGCATAAAAATATCAAAAAAGGAGACATACAGAGCTGTGGTCTGGCAGCAATCTTGAGCAAGCCTGACAGCATGACACAGACAGCTTGGAGAGTGCCAACTGGTGGCAGGACCTAAGAATTAAACTAAAAATCAGCCCTGCTAGCCAGGGACTGCACGGAGGACTGCTCTGGTGGCTGGGAATAAAACCAAAACACTAGTGAAGAGAAAGGCAGGCTGAGCTGTGGAGTTTTGCCTGTCTGGAGGGCACTGCCATTTTGAATGTTTAAAGTGGCTTGGCCATTTTGCATATTTAAAGAGACAGTGCTCTTGGAGATTCCAGGGGCTTAAGAACAGGTTCTGCTTGCCAGTTACCCCAAGGACACTCTGGACCTGCACAACTGAAAAGGTGTGACATTCCCCTTGTTACTCCTATACCCTACACACCTTGGTGAACGGAGGTGCGCCCATGCCCCACTCCCACCCACCTTCTGGGCCCGCAGGAGCTCCATCCCAGTCTGTGTGCTCAGGCAGAGCCTGGGTGCCCTGACCTACCCTCCCTCGATTCTTTTCATTTTCTTTTTTTTTTTCTCTTTCTTTTTTCTGGTTTTTAGCCTGTTTGTTTTGTCTGTTTTAAAACAACTATTACTATTAATACATTTGTCCTTTTCACTATTATTCTTTACTCTATGCTTCCCAGGTCCTAGTTTTCAGCTCTTTTTCTATTTCCTGTTCATGGTTACAATTTTTTTTTTCTTTTTTCTTTCTCGTGGTTAACCCTGTTCCTTATTTTTCTTTT